TTGATGTGTAAATTGATTCACAATCGATGTAAGCTTACATGTAAGTTAATAACTCTAACCGTAACAGTCGTCAGCCAGCAACACTTCGTAGGTATTAATGAATAAACCGATAGAAAATTATGAAAATTCAGTTCCGAGGAGCAAAGGACATTACTCACTTTACTGAGCACTGAAAAATAGACAATACTTTGATATGGTAGTGGGCAGATTAAAGACAATAATGACACTAGCCGATAACACGTACATGTAGTTTGCTTTTCCTTATTTGTAGTTTGCTAAGAGCGGGCAGACTAAAGAAAGACTGACACGCGAACAGATTGGATGGACCTGAACAGATTTGTAGAACACACGAAGTAACCGATGCTTTGGAAAATAACTGCAAGAGCGCACAAGCGCAACTGACACTCATCAAGACACACCTCATCGTATACTGTATCGTGAACATTCTGAACAAAGGCTCGCCGGGCCGTGGATCGGATCTATACAGAATTAACAAGACGAATTGGGACACGAAGTTTACATTTCCGCAACAAACGACATCGAACTGGAATTGAACGGCCGAAAAACTGACTCGCTTCATGGCTGACGAAAAAACGGTAACTATATTTGTTCAGACGTTAGTGAAGTTGTCTCTTGTTTCTGCATTATTGGGCTTAATTTTTAGGAGCAAAAAGATTTTAATCCCAGGTTTTCCAATTTACAGACCTCTATCATCGAGTGGGATGCGAGTAAAAAGGCTGTAAATCAAACTGTTACCCGTAAAGCGCCGATTATTCAGCGAGATATTGAAACTTGTTATCTCCAAGGCGGAAAGCAAATGAAGTGCAACACCATTATGTCATATTTCAGGGATTCCCCTGACTGATTTCATTTGCATAATGACAGGCAGTCACGCCATCTTTGCGTTTCTTGGTTACTCGAACTCTCGGCAAGTCCTTCGGTTCACAATTTCTCTTTATCAATGTTTACATCTTGTATTTTATTTTATTGTTTCACAGGTCATGCCACTCTCGAAAATTCTGGTGTAAGAGACATAACACAGAATTCACTGCGATATATCTTTTGTTTAATCTGAGAAAGAGATAAAAGTTCCAACAAAGTTTACATGAAAACGGCTAAAGCTCAGACTGGACACAAACTGTAGTACAATCAAAAATCAAAACAGGTCTGATCCGCTCGTGTCACGACGACGAAACTTCTTGTATATAAACTACTTTACAAACAAGAACAAATATCTTTCTACCATAAAAAAGCGAAATTTACCATCATACAATCAACTGTATGCTACTGATCTCTTGCAAGGCAAACTAACATTAACAATTCTCATTTCTACAACTGACTGCACTTCAAAACGTATTCAGAAGAAAAAACAGGTTCAACAATCTTGCTTGAGATCCGTATTTCTGAAATAATAAAAAGAAAACCAATCAAAAGTTTATCTTCCTCAAATCAAAATTATGCAAAATGAGGAAATTCAAATCTGTTTGTTAACCTGTGTGACTGGATATGCTAGTCACGCGATGTCACGATAAACAAAACAAGCAGGATCTTTCTCAGTCTTTTTCCTATATTCTATCTTTCCTAACGCGCGACAGGCGTTCTTGTTTTACGCAGAAGAAAAAAAAACAAAAACAGAACGCCAGATCGCAGGTTGTCTTTCCTTGTTTCAAGCCATTCTGCCATTGCGTAACAAAGACGAGTTATTTACAGGCAGGCAAAGTGATACAATAGTGGAGGGGATTTTGATAAATTACATCAGCGCCGTCCGAAATAATTAGACGCCCTAAGTTTTACTGCTACGGTGCTACTAAACAAAATCAATTCACGAAAAATTACCTTCGGTCATGATATCAGATTTGTTCACAAGCACAGCATACATTAGTAGCCTTTTTATCTATATTTATTTAGAAACATCAATGAGCATTGCCAAACTTTTACTGCGGGTATTTCAAATTACTATTTACGGCGACATCAGTTCTGTTTGATTTTGACCACACACTGCTACAAAGTGGCCCGAAAATAATAAATTTAAAATTGAGCGGCCGAAATTTTGTGCTACAGTCAGAACCGAACAAGGCCTGGCTAAGTGTGTGCCAAGGTTTATTTACTTGTTCGCGGGACTAGTCCCCCACTGTGGAGTGCGGGATCCCGAAACATAACATTTTTAAAAAGACATCGAGAAGTAAATATTGTTAATAGAATGTGTGACGCGTTAAAATGAAACGAATGAGAAATGATGGTAGACAGAAGCAAAGCTAGCTCTACAAAAGTAAAACAAAAATAACGAAGAAAGTTAAATCTTACGGTGCTGCGCGGGTTCATGCCAAATTTGAGAAAGAAACGTAGGAGAAACCGAGCCTATTTGAGACACTGAATCACAACTTTTACAGTCAATAATTC